CCATCTATAGTCAGGTTTAACCCATTTCTTGTTCGATCTGATGGGTGCCTTGTCACTTGCTTTTGAACTTGAGGTCTGCTGTCGAGATGACTTTGACCTAGCCGGTTTTGGTTTCGTTGGAGCATTTCTTGAAGTTGGCTTCTTGGTCGGCATTCCCTTCTTGTTGTTGGGAGTTGATTTCTTGGCCTTGGGAGTTGAACTCTTTCCCTTCGTGGCATTCCAGTCGCCATTGTCTGAACGTGACCTTGAGGGGTTTCTTTTGGAAAATCTCCCTCTTGGCGCGTTCTACCACCCTTGTGCATAGTAGGGAACGTATTTGCGATTTGGACAGTTTCGGGCAATGTGTTCAGGTGTTCCACAGTGAAAACATGTCTTTTTCTTCACTGAGAAGTTGTTTCTTCCTGCCCCTGGTGGCGTGCTCTTGCCTCTTTTCTAGTTATTCCCACAAGCACACTTGCAGCAAGTTGTCGATTTCGCTTGTTTTGGTGGCTTGTATTTTCCAACAGCAGGTTTAGAAGTAACTGAGTTAGAAGCAGCAGATTCAGAGTTCAAGGAGTCATTGGTTTGACAGTCAATAGAATTTGCAGCACTAGAATTAGTTCTGTTCTCCTTGTCCTCATCCTCTACTACTTTACTTGCACATGAAGTAGAAGCATCAGAAACATTCACCTTAATAACCTCAGTAGGCCCAGATGGTTCAGTCTTAACTGAATCTAGTACAGTCTTAACTAAAGTTGGTTCAGGGAGTGGGCCAAACTGAGCAGGTGTCTCTTCCTCGTTGGTCTCAAGGGGTGGGTTATAATTGTCATTAAAGGGAGGTGGAACACTGTGGTACCCAAGACCCTTATTTTGATTATCTTTAAATTTTAATTGTTTTTCAATCATGGATGCAACTACCTCACTTGACACATCATATTTTCTGAAATTAAAATCTGCATTTTCAAATTTGTTTTTCAATGTGTCAAGCTCGGCAGTCACAGCATCAAAATCTTTCTTAAGATATCTATAATGGACACACTTGTCACTGTACTCTGCCTGTAATTTCCTAAAGTCCATAGTCTTGGCCTCTGGTTGTTCTTTCAATGGTTTTTGGCCTTTCCTAAGTTGGTACCCCTCATATTTAAGTTCCTCAGTTTCTCTTTTTAATAAATCGAGTTGTTCACGAAGAAACTTATAGTATTTCACAAGATGGAGTACATGAAACGTCATTGACCAGGAGGGATGCGGAACTCATTTTTATCAAAGTGTCCTTTGACTGAAACTTTCAAAACAAAAGAAAAGTAAAAGTCAATTAAAGTCAATTTAAAAGTCAACTTAAAAGTCAAACGAAAAGCTAAATTTGAAATTTTGCAAGTTAAACGAGAAAGTCAAAGTTTAAAGTCAAAGGTCAAACTTGAAAAGTCAAAGTCAAAATTTGAGGTCAAAGGTCAAAAATTAAAGTCAAAAATTAAAAACTAAAATTTTTGGGTTGAAAATGAAATTTAAAAATAAAAGAAATTGATTTTTGGGCTAAATATGTCAAAATTGTGAAATTGTGTTCGAAATCGAGTCCTTTTGAATTAAATTTGGAAGGATTGTAACGTGTGTTAAGCTAGATCAACTGGAAGGCGTGTTGGTTGAGTTGGCAGGAGACCCGCGTTCGATCCTCCTCCACCCCAAAAAAAAATTTAATAAGGGCAGCTGCGAATGTGAGGATGACACGTGTGAGGACTCCTGCTGACCGGGAACGAGGCTGGGCCGAGAGCAAGGCTGACCGGGAACGTGCGAGACCGTGAACGAGACGCTCCACCGCAAACTCGCCTGATCGAGCACGTCTGAGGCTGGCCGCACACCGATGACCGTGAACTCCGAGGGCCGCAAACTGTTTCCGGCCGTAAACAAACTTTGGGCCGTGAACCCTTCAAAGTCCGAGAACCTTTCAAGGGCCGTAAACCCTTCAACAGTTACGAAAAAAACGACGTTTTTCACCCTTTTTGCTCCAAAACTCGAAAAAAACTCGTTTTTATCAAAAATGCAAAGAACAAACCCCTCCTATTTTGCCAAGATCTATCCAAAAACGCAGAAATCCTTCAAAAATAAGATCAAATACGCTCCAGATCTGCAAAATTTAATTGATACAATCCAAACTCTGATACCACTTGTAAGTCCCAAATCTGCTTGTGTATCAATCAGATCCAATTGATGGTGCGGAATCCCAATCAATTGGATGATGCTGGATCAAAATAAGAAGAAGGAGAAGAAGAATAATATGAATCTATGATGTATTCAAGCTTGGAATGATGAACAATACACAAGATTCACACACACTTGCACCTTCTCTCTCTTTCTCTCTCTCTCTCTCTTCTCTCTCTTGGCCGTAAACTCATCTACCACTCCTCACCCCTAACACCTATATATATACTTGGGGAACATGGGCCGTAAATGGGTTCACGGCCGTGAACCAGTGCAGGGCCGTAAACACTTTTCGGTCCTAGACGGAAAATTACAATTGCCTAGAAAAGCAAAGTATAAACCATAATCTAGACCCCACATGGTAATAGACTCATGCACATCTATTCTCAATCTCTCCAGATTTTTTTTGGTTTTAATTCTAAACACACACGGTGCTAAGAACAAGTGCTCAAGAACACACAGTGCTCAAGAACAAACACAATGCTCAAAAATCGATTTGTATGTGTATGTTTTCGTTTTCGAAATCGATATGTGTGTGTATGAATCTGAAATCCACCATCGTCTCTTTCCTCCTCTCTGTCTACTCCTATTACTTAACATCCGCCTACCGCCTCAGGTGGATTACGTTCTCAGAGATAACCCTAGAAGGGAGGTTGCATTAGGGTTTTTGCAAAGGATGTCGTCGGAGAAGGAGGGAGAGGAAGTCATCGTGGGTGTTCTGTGGTGTTATGTGGTGGTTCAATGATGACGATGCTGCTCACGGAGGTTCCATATGCTCCCGCTACCCCAACACAAACAACATCGATCCTCCTCTACCGCTACCATCTCCATTGTGGTCTTCAGCCTCCTCTACTGCTGCCATCTCCACTGTCTAAAAAGCCCCTTCGGCACCCCCCAAGCATCTTCCATCGATAGAGATTTAGATTAAGTTAATGCTGGAAGTGATCGATCTGAAAGTTGGGTCTACTTTAGCGGGTTTTGTAAGTTGAATCAAATTGATTCAGCCAGCTGGAGGATAAGCTACTGGAGGATAACTGTAAACCTATGGTGATTACTTACACAATTTTGATCGAGGCCACCATTTTTGACGGTGGGATTACTGAAGCAATGAAGCTTCTTGATGAAATGTTGTCTAGACGTCTTCAACCCGATATGAATGTGATTTAGGGATTTTTGAAGTGATTTGAATAGAAAAGGCGGTAGCAGTAGGTAACCCCGAATGTCTTGGTGGCCGGAAAAACAGCTCCAACTCCGGTGGGGAGTTCTTGGTCGTAAATAAAGAAGGAGGGGGGGTGGAGTTTGTAGAGAGAGAGAGGTGGGCCCTCTTATTTTTTTAATAATTAAAATGAATAAATAATTATTAAATTAGAAAAAAAATGAATTTAAAAATGGAAAATAAATACCCCAAGGGTATTACAGTCATTTCACTATTCATAGGGACTAAAAACGCAACGAAACTAGCTCAAAAGGACCACCAATCCAAAACAGTCGTGGTTTGGACTAAAACCCCAAAAAAATGCATACCACAGGAACCATTTTTACAGTTTTGTCTAAACTAAATCTAATAAAAACAAGACAAAATACAAGAAAAAGACCAATAGTAAGATCAAAATATAGTTTATTAGTTTACAAAACATCTAAAAACAAAAATAAATAAATATTAAAGAATGTATATGACAACATCCAATTTTTTAAACGTTTTCTTTGAGAATATTATCGTTCTTTTATGAACTTGAAATTACTAGACATGTTAATAGGAAAAATGATTATTCAATTTAAAAAATTAATACATTCTTATAAAATATAATCACACTAATAAATAAATTTGCCACATAAATTTGTCATATGTCATACTTTTATTTATTTTAACACATGTCATTTTATAGTTATTTTAAACTAAAAAATTTATATATGTCATTTTATGGTTTTTTTTCATTTTATTAAATTTCATATAGTATTTAGATGTAATAAATGTAATAATAAATATATATAAATTTAATTAATAAAACTTCCCTTCAATTTTAAAAATTCATAGTTAACGCCTAACTATTTTTTTATTTTTTTATTTAAATTATTTGTTTAAACTTAAAATAGAAATAAGTATTTCAATTTCAATAATTTAATACTTTTTTTTATTTTTTTTTATATGTTCAAACTCCTAAATGTTTTAAATGTTTAAACCTTTATATTTAATTCTTTTTAATAAACTATATCATATTCAAATTAGTTAAACATATATTTTATATTAATAAATTAAAATTTAAAAATATCTACTCTAATAAATAAGAATGATTTTGCCACATGTCATTCTCACATTCAATTGGCCACATGTCATTTTGTTATAATTTTAAGATATAATTATTTTCCATTTGTCATTTACTTCATTTTTCATTTCCAATATATCATTAATTTAGTTTTCATCCATTAAACCTACCATAATAACTATTAGTTTCAAATTTTAAATTTGAAATTTCAATTTCAAATGAATTTACAATTTAAACCTTTATATTTAACATATCTACCCTAATAAATAAGAATGATTTAACATATTGTTATAAATAATCCGTTTAGTATACGAGCCTGACAACTAAACACATAATTTTTATTTATTTATTTTCCGCATGTTTTTTTCTCATAATTTTCACTTATTTTAGATTTCAAATTCAAATAAGCTTCTCACGTAATCGTTTCTATGTAATATTTTGTTTAATCAATCCGTATAATATACGGGTCTTACAACTAGTTAAAATAATAAACCCAACTATCGGTCTCACACACAACTCCTATAATCGGGTTCATTTCAGATTCACTGCTATAAATACATAAGAATGTCTTCACTTCCCAAGCGTGACAACTGTATGATTGAAATGCAAACAATGATTCATCTATCGATAGTGTTCTTGTTGTTTTCAAATGCTCTTGTTTATAGAGTTTGTCATGCATCCTCTTACTCCCGTCTCATAAGCAGTGGTGTTGACCATCATCTTCATTCTCCCCATTAATGAGCAACCACTCGCCAAAATCGCCATTCACAAAACTGTTATCGCTCTCAATGAATCAGCTTCCATTCGTTCTAGCCCTTTGCTACTGGGAGTCGAGGTAATTAAAAACTCGTTTTTTTTCCCATTAGTTAGATTAACTATTCAAATTCTATGACTTAAATTTCTAAATATTACATAGGAGGATGATGATCATATTGATTGGCTTAACATAGACCTCGAGTACCCTGAACCATCTATAGACGATTGGGTTGGAATTTTTTCTCCGGCGAAGTTGAAGTAATCTTATATCTTTAATTTCTATAATACCTAATCTTCTCCATGAATGCTTTACTTGAAAAACTGAATGAATATGACAGTGCTTCCGATTGCTCATCTGAAGCCGGTGAGTGGCCGGAGAATCCAACCTTATGCACAGCTCCAATTAAGGTAAAACACCATTAATTAGTTTGAATAATGAAGGAACTTTGTGCTAATAACACATCTTTTGTAAATTGTAACAGTACAAATTCGCATATCAGTCATCTGCTGATTACGTTAAAACAGGAAAAGCTAAAGTCACCTTCCGGATCATAAATCAACGTTCAAATTTCGCATTTGCGTTTTTTACAGGCGGATTAGAAACTGTATGTGAATTAGTCGCTGTTTCCAGTTTCCACTCGTGATTTCATTATTAAATTCTGCAATCTATATGATTAATCAGTAATTGGGTTTCCTGAATTACAGCCGAAATTGGTTGCTGTTTCTAATCCTATGTCATTTCCAAACCCTAAGGCCCCTCTATACCCTCGTCTTGCCCATGGAAAAGCTTGGGATGAGGTAAAACTTTTTATATACTTAATGCATGTTTTTTTAAATTATATTATATTGTTTATATAATTTGGTATATTGGGTGGTTTCTATTTCTACAGATGACTGTAACATGGACCAGTGGATATAACATTGATGAAGCAACCCCACTTGTTGAATGGGGATTGAAGGGACAAACCAAAAAGCTTTCTCCTGCAGGAACATTGACTTTTACACGTGGCAGCATGTGTGGTATAATATAATAATAATAGTTTACATTAAATAATGGTAAAAATTAAAATTACACAAAAGTTGAACAATTTTTTACCTGCCATGTAATGTAGGTCCACCTGCACGTACAGTTGGATGGCGTGATCCTGGTTTTATCCACACTAGTTTCTTAAAGGACCTGTGGCCAAACACGATGTATGTATGTGTTTCATTTTTCTCATAACAATTCAAAGAATAAAGAAACAATGGGAAAAAGATATTTCTTTATTTTTCTAAAATCGTCTTAATAAATGACTAAATGAGTCCAGATAACAGATTTTACAAATCACAATATTATTTTTCCAGGTATGAATACAGAATGGGTCATATGCTTTTAAATGGATCAATCATCTATAGTAAAATATACACATTCAAATCATCTCCATATCCCGGACAAGATTCGCTTCAACGTGTTATCATATTTGGAGACATGGGAAAGGTATCTAAGAATTTGTTGAATTTATAAAATATAACAATAACTAATTTTTAAGATTCATATTTGTAGGCAGAACGTGACGGGTCAAATGAGTATGAAAATTATCAACCAGGATCCTTAATTACTACAGATCAATTAATCAGTGACCTTGACAACTATGATATAGTGTTCCATATAGGAGGTTTACCATATGCAAGTGGATATCTCTCACAATGGGATCAATTCACAGAACAAGTCGAACCCATTTCATCAGTAAAGCCATATATGATTGCAAGGTTCGTATTTCTAAATATTAATAAAATTTATATGATATCTATATCTATTTTTCTATAATTAAATTATGTATTAACTACTTACTTTTTATCTCACAGTGGTAACCATGAACGTGATTTTCCTAATTCTGGATCTTTTTACGATACTCTTGATTCGGGCGGGGAGTGTGGTGTGCTTGCTCAGACCATGTATTATGTTCCTGCAGATAACAGAGCTAAATTTTGGTAAAAATATTTATTTAAATCTATAATATTAAAAAAGAAATCTTGTTTATATTGTAAGTTGTTTATAGGTATGCAACGGATTATGGTATGTTTCACTTTTGTATAGCGGATTCAGAGCATGATTGGAGGGAGGGTTCAGAACAATATGCATGGATAGAGAAATGTTTTGCGTCAGTCGACAGACAAAAACAACCATGGTTAATCTTTGCTACTCATCGTGTTCTAGGTTATTCTTCTAACAGTTGGTTAGCCGATGAGGGTGCATTTGAAGAGCCCATGGGACGTGCGAATTTGCAAAAGTTATGGCAAAAATACAAAGTGGACATCGCGTTGTATGGGCATGTCAATAATTATGAAAGGACATGTCCTATATACCAGGTACTTACTTACTAACCGATTCTCATACTATGTTAGATATATAGAGACATATAATGTCATGCTGACTTGTTGACTTTTTTTGTATAGAACAAGTGTGTGAACTCGGACATATCACGGTACTCTGGTACGGTGAATGGGACGATTCATGTTGTTGTTGGTGGAGGAGGGAGCCGTTTGTCGAATTTTACAGAGATAAATACATTTTGGAGTTTGTATAAAGATCAGGATTGGGGATTTGTGAAACTTACTGCATTTAACCACTCATCACTTTTATTCGAGTACAAGAAGAGTAGTGATGGTTTGGTTTATGATAGCTTCACAATCTCAAGGGACTACAAAGATGTTTTGGCATGTGTACATGATGGTTGTGAACCTACCACTTTGGCAACTTAAAATGTGGTACATCAAAAATTTTGGCAGATAAAACCAATAAAAAATACTTTTCCAAAAAATCATGCTGCTAAAAATTTGTCTTATTAGTGGTAAGGCTTCTATTGTACAAGTAATGTATGTATGTGTCCATTATTTTTGTTTAATGTCCTTGTTATAGTTATCGTCCTATTTTAGTTGGCTGGGAATTGTTTTGTATAAGCATTATGCAAATTTATTTTTATTAGTATTTGAGGTAAACATACTTGAGAGTTGAGATAGATTTGCCCAATTTATTTTCATCTCGAAGATCTATTTATTTTTTTGGATAAAACCCAATTTTTTTGCCCAATAATTTTTTTTGATCTTACTCATATTTTTTTGGATAAAACATACCTGAGAGTTGAGATAAAACCCAATTTATTTTTTTGGATAAAACCCAATTTATTTTCATCTCGAAGATCTATTTCTAGATTTTGTTTAATAAAGTCTTAGAGGAAATTGACAATTATGATTCTTGTTTCAAACAATTATGAAGAATTACTGGCGACTTCGGTTTAGATTAGCTAAACCTTTAGTTTGTTTCAAGTTGGGACATTTTGGGAAGAACACACATGCATGGAAACCCAAATACATCCCAAGAATCATTATTCATTAAGAGAGCAAATATTGGGTCATTTATTAAAAGATGCAACGGTTAATAGTAACAAAACAACATATCATGCGAATGATATATATTGAGATATCAATTCTCCATACAAAATATGTATTTCCTATTCTCAACCCTAGCGTGTGAAATGTGATGCCTTGGAAAAGTCATTTGTGCAACTTCCCCGTGTATTGTCACCATATGAAGAACACAAACAAAGACACTTTTCTCAAGTCCACTTTCCCCTCGCTAGAAACTTGTGCACATTGATATGGGTTTCACAGCCAAGGAAGTTGATATGATTATGGACTGCCATACAATAAAAAAATGTAACAGGATTAAAAAAAAAAAAAAAAAAAAAAAAGAGTTTTATGCATTATTATTTGTGAAGCCTAACATAGGATGTGAAAGTACTTTATTTGAAAAAATATCAAAATTTTAGTGATTTTCCTTGAGAAAATAAATTGGGTTTTATCCAAAAAATAAATAATTCTTAGATTTGCCCAATAATAATTATTATATGACCTAATTTCCAAAAATATAACTGTAAAAGTCTACGAACGCAGAACAAGATGCTGTATTTATTTTCGCAACTAATTTCGACTGATTCCGTTAAGACTGAAGAGTCCAAGTGTCGACTCTGTATCCGCATTCGATGGCCGGTAATCAGAGTCAAAAGATTCGCCATCATCTAGCATGTGGATAAAACTCAAAGCAAAACAGTTGACTTAATCTTCGAAGAAATCTCCGGATTATTATTTATTCATAACTACAACTATTTATCAACCTTTTAAGTTCATAACAAAATCAGAAAAGAATATCTGCTGGAATCTTCCCAAATCCCACTACCAGAAATCCAAAACCCATTATAGAAACAACAACCTTTTCATGCCTCCCGTTTGTGAAATTGCCACAATGAACATCTTTTACAGAATCGCCGTCTTTTCACTATCAATCTTTGTTGTTTTAGCATCAGCCCATTTTGTGAAAGGTAATATTGAAATCACGGAACAACCCTTGTCCAAAATAGCAATTCACAGTGCTGTGCTTGCTCTCCGTGATGACGCCTCCATTAAAGCTTATCCTACTGTTCTTGGCTCAAAGGTAAAAATTTATTTTTCTTGAAAGAAAAATAGTTTCTTCTAGTGACTAATGTTGATAAATTTTTCACTTTAATGAAGGGTGAAGATGTTGATTGGGTGACAATCGAGCTTCAACACCCCCAATCCATCGAATGATGACTGGATTGGAGTATTTTCTCCTGCTAAATTTAAGTAAGATTTGATTCAAATCTTCAATATCATAATCAAATGTAGAAATCCGTACTAAATAATATATTTTTTGAATAAAATACAGTGGATCAACTTGTTACTTTGAAAATGATTCTAAGCTACAGGCTCCATACATATGTTCTGCACCAATAAAGGTGAATTTTGCTTCAAATTTATGATATTTATTCCAAATAATTAGGTATCATCTGTGAATTGTGATCTGACTTATATTCTTTCACAGTACACATTTGCAAATTACTCGAATTGGGAATATGCAAAAACAGGAAAAAGTACATTAAAACTCCGGTTAATCAATCAACGAGCTGATTTCTCATTTGCCTTGTTTTCCGGTGGATTATCAAATGTAAAAATCCAAAATCTACAATGCATTTTGTTATTTAGTTAATTTTCTTGTGGCCCACCTTTCCTATGTTTATTATTTAGTTGTCTTTATATTTTCATTGCAGCCAAAATTGGTTGCTCATTCGAACTTTATATCATTTGTAAACCCAAAAGCACCTGTTTATCCACGTCTTGCTCTAGGAAAATCTTGGAATGAAGTAAGTCTTGAAAATGTGTTTTTATATTATATTTTTTTTTGAAGATTTAACTTGATATTTGGAGTCTTTGTTGGTGTTCATTTAGATGACTGTGACATGGACAAGTGGCTACAACATAAACGAAGCAACTCCTTTTGTGGAATGGGGAGTCAAAGGTCAAGGCCGAATTCGCACTCCCGCGGGAACACTAACATTCCATCAAAATAGCATGTGCGGTATGTTCATCTACTGATAATCTTGGACAGGACACAGAACAGTGTGAGTCAGCTCAGGGTTTACTGGAAAAATAACTTTCATGCAGGCTCACCAGCAAGAACAGTCGGGTGGCGGGACCCAGGTTTCATACATACAAGTTTCTTGGAAAATCTATGGCCAAATACCAAGTATCTATCTCCTCATTTTTTTAAATTTTTTAATTTAATTAACTGAATTAACTATATGTTATAATTATAAATCCTAGGTATACTTACAAAATGGGGCATATATTACCCGATGGGACACACATATGGAGCAAAAAGATTTACACATTCACGTCACCTCCTTTTCCGGGACAGGAATCCTTACAACGTGTTATTGTATTCGGTGATATGGGAAAGGTAGTAAAACTAAAAACTCCAAAAATTACGATTTTACATAATCAAGGGTTTTGAATCAAATCATGGTTTTTAGGCTGAACGTGATGGATCAAATGAGTATAGTAATTATCAACCTGGTTCACTCAACACCACTGATCAGCTCATTAACGACATTGATAACATAGACGTTGTGTTCCACATTGGAGATATCGTGTATTCAAATGGCTACATTTTCACAATGGGATCAATTCACTTCACAAATTGAACCCATTTCATCGGTTGTTCCATATATGATTGCAAGGTTTGTGATTTTATGATTTTGTTCATGTTACCAATCGATTGAAAATTTAACAAAAAAGAAAATTCAAAGTTCTTTTTGAATTTTCAATCGTCTTTTTTTTTATTAGTGGGAATCATGAACGTGATTGGCCTGGAAGCGGCTCGTTTTACGATGGGAAAGATTCCGGTGGTGAATGTGGTGTTCCGGCGGAGACTTCGTTCTTTGTCCCTGCAGAAAACCGAGCTAAATTCTGGTAAAAATCGGTGCTTTTCACGAAACCGTTCAAAAAATTAGGGATTTTTTCCGTTAATCTGGCTTCTGTTTGTAGGTATTCGACGGATTATGGGATGTTTCGTTTCTGTATAGCGGATTCGGAGCATGATTGGAGGGAAGGAACAGAACAATACAAGTTCATCGAGAGATGTCTGGCGTCAGTCGACCGGAAAAAACAACCGTGGCTCATATTTGCTGCCCACCGTGTTCTTGGTTACTCGTCGGACAAATATTACGCAGCTGATGGGTCGTTTGAGGAGCCCATGGGAAGAGAGAGCTTGCAGAAGCTATGGCAGAAATACAAAGTCGACATCGCGTTTTATGGCCATGTCCATAACTACGAAAGATCTTGCCCTATTTATCAGGTACAAAAATAAAATCCCCTTTTTGGATTTAGGGTTTCAATTCGCTTTCTAATACTGTGAATCTGGTGATGGTGTAGAATGTGTGTGTGAACCCTGAGAAGACGCACTATTCCGGCACGGTGAACGGAACTATTCACGTGGTGGTCGGTGGAGCCGGAGCTCATTTGTCGGAATTTGGAGAGATTAATACGACTTGGAGTGTTTTTAAGGATTATGATTTTGGGTTTGTGAAGATGACTGCGTTTAATCAATCGTCGTTGTTGTTTGAGTACAAGAAGAGTAAGGATGGGAAGGTTTATGATTCGTTCACGATTTCGAGAGATTACAGAGATGTGTTGGCGTGTGTACATGATGGGTGTGAGGCTACCACCTTGGCATAGTAAATAGTTTAGCATCGAGTTTGGATTGTGAATCAACATTTTCGTTTATTTGTGTTTTGTGCCTTTTTGACCATAGACAAATGATGAGAAAATGTTGTGTTGAATTTTTTACATGATACCCTTGTTTAGCTTTAATTGTTGAGAATCTTGAATGCCCGTTAAACAGAAAACAAGGACGTTATTAATCATGTAGGCAACGATCATGCATTCATTTCTCATAAGCATTGTTGGAAACATGGTGTATGTGATAGATAATAATAAGGATGAAAAAGTAGTCAAAATTCAATCCCATGACACCTTTACATAGTGTAAATAATATCCTATAGGTAGTCGCAATGTTTCATGAAAAGTTGCAACTTTTTATAACGGGTTCCAATTTTTTTTTTCCCGCAAAAAATCATTGATAGAAAACTCAACGGATCATAACATTTTTGGTCCAAATACCTCCATTTAGTCTCATCATATGTTTCCCTCTAATTTTCCATTAAAATAATTACCCATTCATTCAGTATGTCAAACTAATGTCCACACTTGGTAATTGGTAACTTAGTTTTACCATATTGTCCGTACTTCCAAAACTTGTTTTCTAACTTTCTACTGAAACGGAAAACTTCTCTTTTTTTTTTTGAAAAAATTTCCAAGAAAACTGAGAACAATTTTCCACAACCAAACGGAACTAAACTTTCAGATCACACAAAATAAAAACGATTTTTTTTTTCAAAATCAAGTAATTATTTAATCATGGCTTTTTACACATGTGGCTCGGCCTCATATCTCAGCTTAGTTCTATTAATAACCACAATGAAGGAGAGAACTTAACTCTTCCATCAATCATTAACAAATCCATCAACCAACCATTTCCTCGTCATTGCCCCTGTGTTCACTTGATGTACCCATGGATGCGAACAGATCCTCTATTCGTAAAGGAGAATGCCGAACCATATATTGGAATACAATCTGAGAAATTTAAAAATAAAAAAATATTATTAATAATCATATTTTATATTTTGAGGTAAAAAACCTTCAAATCTGTAGTATTTACCTTAGAATAACTATCAGCAAAAGCGCGTGCACGATGGACCTTTCCTATATACTGCAAATCGGCCTTTTCCACCTTCCCATTCATAAATGTCAATCCACCCTCACTAACTGCAAACCTTACAAGGTTTCCAAAATTCAGTCCTGTCTAAAAAAACACAAAATCCAAATAAATAAATAAAAACTCTATAACTGAAATATTTTTAAACAATAATTACACTTTACACAAACCTCTTGTATAAAACCCGCATTTAAGCAACCAAGTAAAACAGGAGGATCATCAGATGTAACCAGTTCCCCATTTTCTTGTATCTCCAAAACCACCTTCTCATTTATAAACATTAAAAAAAAATCAATGAAGGGTAAATTATGAAAAATAGAAACATATTGAAATAAAGCATGTTGTTATAATGGGTAAGAAATTGTAACTACCTGCTGTTGATTTGGAATCTGCCCTTTGTTATCTGTATCAATGACATATTCACTACAAGTCTCATCCTTCCAGACAAGTGCTAATGGTGTATTTCCTGTTTGATAGTGTGCATGTCTATATATAATAAACAGAAAAACCCCATCAAAAATATTAATGAGAAATCTTTAATGGATTAACAAAGAAGCTTACTTGTTATAAAACAGTAGCCCATCTTTCGCATAAGGGACTTGCCCTGTATAAGCTGTTTGGAGGCCTTCATGATCACAATTATAAACAGGAATGAGGCTAAATCTATATCTATGGTAAGTAGATGGATCCTCACAAGCTCCTGACTCAACAAGCTTGCTGTTCATCCAAAAAAATCTGAATTCAGCTGTGCATTCATAAAATGAGATTCCTGCCCAGCATACCATGTCGATTACATAGTAGGTTTGATCCAACTGTGATCATAGAATATACAAAAGATCATCATCAAAACACTCAGCTAAAATCAGAAACTGTAACTCCATTCTCCATATGTAAGTGAAGATTAATACCTCGTGAAATATGCAGTCAAGTATGCAATATGATTGGGCAGATCGAGAACCTTCTCTGGTTCGAGCACCATTAGGTAGAGAAGAAGGAAATCGGTGCAGGAGGGAGCCATTGCGTAATCTGCTGATAGTTGTTCCATTTGATGAAACAACAAAGCATCGTTTTCCAGAAGGTCTTGCAAATACATACCTGTAGGGTTTCTTTCATTATGAGTTCACTTCTACTGAAGCATCTCGAACAATTGATGCGTTCCGAACGTATCGACCTTTAAACTGATTTTACGAATCTCGTTAAGCCCTAATTGGGCCAAATTATGTGTATCGTCTAGAATTAATAAGTTCACGACTGCTTATTGAAACTATGCAGGGTTAAAATAGAACAAATTAGGCCTAGAATAGTTTCTGTTTCGTATAATTTACTAATTCTTCACAGACATGATTGAAATAATGAGAAACAAATACCAATCGTGATCGAGACGATCAGGGACATCAATCATCCACTCCGGAAGCATAAGCTGACTGGCGAACCACCGCCGAGCTTCGGGGCCTTTGAGCTTAGCCGCTTGAAGGATGTCGATATCGGTGATATCTCCGGCATCAGTCTCGGGTTCTTCAACTATAGGCTCGGGTACAAGTTCGACCGGTTCCAAATGTTGAGGTTCGGACTTGTGGTTTGGGAGGGAGAGGATAGAGGAAGCGAGACGGCGGGCTTGCAGCTGAGCTTCATTCCGGTTCTGAGCCTGCCTTTGCAAAGACAATTCACGGCGTTTCTGTTGGTCGGAGATCGCTGCACGTTTGAATGGACGCCGGATATCATGAGGCGCCATTGACACTGGTTCACCCAACAAAAAGATTCAGCGGCCTTTCAAACCTAGCGATTTTATTTTTAACCGACGAGTGACGAGTGACGAAGCCGGTACAATACCCATTTGGGTTAAGAGGGGCGTTTGGTGATTTGAATATCTGATTGTGCTTTGACAAAATTACATAAATGGTCCCTGTAGTTTTTCTGATTCGCCAGTTTAGTTTTTAATGTTTTTTATGGTTACAATTTGTTGGAGTGTTAGTCCTTAAATCATACTATAAAATTAAATCATATAAAATGCAGGGTTGAGCATGGCCAGGTTTGGTTGGTTTTAGGGTAAAACCGAACCCAAAACCGAATTGTCGGTTTTATAAAAACTAGAACCCAACCCAAAACCGATGGGTTCGGTTTCTCGGTTTTCCGGATCAGTTTTGGGTTTAAACCTATTAACGTATCCCACTAAGAATACGTCAAATGTAATGAACTCATTCCGCGGAGGTAGTTCCGAGGAATGGATCTTCAGGAAAAAAAATTCACCTCCAATGATTATTTTATGTAAAAATTTCCGATTGAAAGACCAATTTTTTTCCACCTTACATTCAATTCAAACACTGTTAAGAAAAATTCATACTATCATAATCTTTTTTTGAAAATAATTAGTTGGGGAATGAATATAAACCCAAAGAATCGATATGAAAAAAAAAATCTGAATATCCATTCCTCGGAGCTACCTCCGCGGAAAGAGTTCATTTATCGGAGGTAGCTCCGCGGAATGGATATTCGGTGTTTTTTTAATACCTTGATTTAGTTATTAATTTGCTATTCCGCGGAGCTACAATAGATTCCGCGTAGCTCTCGTAGCTTACATCCGCAGAACCAATGTCTATATCCAGAAATCTAATTTTTGGTGTTTATATTTTGGAATTCAACCCAAATTGTCTATACCCTTAATTTCCCATAGACTTTGTGGTTTAAAAAAACAATAAACACCTAACTTTCACCAAACAACGACGGATTTTTCTATGCAGCCCCCTGATATTAGATCACAAGAAACCTTCGTCGATTCACCATATCTCCTCCATAATCCGCGTTCTTCAGAAATTGCAACAAGAAATTCTTCAATCCGAATCCCCTCAACAGTGAGTTAACGATTCCCTTTTCTTTTCAGATAATTCGCGATGGACATTACCTTGTCGCGTTATCAGAACACATCAGTCTTCGAAAGTAGCTCTTTGTCGTTAACGGATGTTAAATTATTTCAAGAAAGACACTTGTTTTTTACGTCTCACTTGTTAAACAAAAGAGTACGAAGAGCCCAGGCATCTGCAATTAGTTGTCATTTTGTAGAACAGGGATTGCATCCAAAACCCAAGCCAAAACCACTGAGTAATGGTCATGATGTATTAAAGAAAGAAACTCATGTCCAAGAGTCGCGACAGATGAAAGGTTCTAGTTCAGGACTCTGTGGCCAGATCGAGAAGCTGGTTCTCTGTAAACGATATAGAGATGCTCTTGAAATGTTTGAGATTTTGGAAATTGAGTGCGGGTATGATGTCCATGTTGGCAAGAGTACTTATGATGCGTTAGTGGATGCTTGTATCAGTTTAAAGTCGATTAGAGGGGTTAAAAGAGTGTTTAATTTTATGATTAATAGTGGGTTTGAGCCGGATTTGTATTTGAAAAACAGGATGCTATTGATGCATGTCAAATGTGGGATGATGATTGATGCCCGCATGTTGTTTGACGAAATGCCAGAGAGAAATTTAGTTTCTTGGAACACAATAATTGCAGGGCTTGTGGACTCTCGAGATTATTTGGAAGCATTTCAGTTGTTTCTAACAATGTGGGAGGAACAATCTGACGCCAGTTCACGTACTTTTGCCACCATGATGCGTGCATCTGCAGGGCTGGAAATGATTTTTCCAGGACAACAATTACACGCTTGTGCTATAAAACTGGGTGTAAGTCAAGATATCTTCGTATCATGTGCACTAATCGACATGTACAGCAAATGTGGAAGCATCGAGGACGCCCAATGCGTGTTTGATGAAATGCCTGAGAAAACAACAGTGGGTTGGAATACAATCATTGCAGGGTACGCCCTTCATGGATACAGTGAAGAAGCTTTAGATCTCTACTACGAGATGCAAGATTCTGGTGTTAAAATGGACCACTTCACTTTCTCAATGATAGTAAGAGTATGTACACGATTAGCTTCATTAGAACATGCCAAACAAGCACACGCAGGCCTCATCCGCCATGGTTTTGGTCTAGACATAGTTGCCAACACTGCACTTGTTGACTTCTACAGTAAATGGGGAAGAATCGATGATGCACGCAACGTGTTTGATAAAATGCCTCACAAGAATGTTATATCATGGAACGCGTTAATTGCTGGATATGGTAATCATGGGAGAGGAATTGAAGCTTTAAAGTTATTCAAACGAATGATTACTGAAAACATGATCCCAAATCATGTTACTTTTCTAGCTGTTCTTTCTGCTTGTAGCTATTCAGGTTTATCAGATCAAGGGTGGGATATATTTGAATCAATGGGAACAGATTTCAAGGTAAAACCTAGAGCTATGCATTATGCGTGTATGATTGAGTTATTAGGGCGTGAAGGGTTATTAGATGAAGCTTTTTCTTTGATCCAAAATGCTCCATTTAATCCTACAGTCAATATGTGGGCTGCTTTGCTTACAGCTTGTAGGGTCCACAAGAATCTAGAACTTGGAAAGCTTGCAGCTGAAAAAATATATGGTATGGAGCCAGAAAAGCTTAGTAATTATGTTGTTCTTTTAAATATTTACAACAGTTGTGGAAAACAAAAAGAAGCTGCTTCTGTTTTTCATACTTTAAAAAAGAAAGGTTTGAGGATGTTGCCTGTGTGTACTTGGATAGATGTGAAGAAACAGCAGCATATGTTTGTTTCAGGGGATAAAAAATCAAAATCCCATGTTCAAATTGTTAAAAATTTGAAGAAATTAATGTTGGGAATTGAAAAATATGGTTATGTTCCAAAGAAAAACTCTTTGCTTCCTGATGTTGATGAAAGGGAAGAACAGATGTTAATGTTTCATAGTGAGAAACTTGCAGTTTCTTTTGGACTGATGAATACTTCAGATTCAACACCTTTGCATTTGGTGCAGAGTCACCGGATTTGTGATGACTGCCACCTGGCAGTTAAGTTAATGGCTAAGCTGACTGGACGAGTGATTGTTGTGAGAGATGCTAGCAGATTTCATCGGTTTGAAAATGGAAAATGTTCTTGTGGTGATTACTGGTGAACAAGATTTATAATTTCAGAAAATTAGTTTTTTTATCTTCTATAATCTTTATTCCCATCTTTAATTTTTCTATTTCTGTTTACTTGCGAGTTATAAATTGTAACTTGTAATCACAAAAGTTAAGATTTTGCAATAAATAAATTTGCTTCCTGTTCTTGTTATCAACAATAGCCCATAAATTTTTGAGCAATTGTATTTTAATTTTTTATGTTTCATATAATTATATTTAGTATGTAACTAACTCTTAATTCACTACAGAAAGCATGAAGAATTTGCTCCTAAATTTCCTGGGAGATGAATCCCCAAGGTCACGAAAACTTGTTTCACATAGTTTGTGTGTCCTTTTTTAGTGTTAAACAATTTGTATTTAACGTTAAAAAAGTGTAACATATTATTTTGTTTAAACCATTTTTTAAAGTCTGTTATGATATTTGTGATTAGTAGCTATAAATATAGAAATATAACCAAGATTTTTCTTATTGAGTGTATGCACACCAAGTGTTTGATAAAATGACAACAAAGAATAATCTCTTAACTCTCTTCTTGCTACTATCAACTTTCTTTGTTTCAAAGCTTTGCAATGCTTTATCCAACAGTCACCTCACCGGAACTCCTCCCAACCACCACCACCACCATGCTACCGCCAGTGAACAACCACTTGCCAAGATTGCAATTCACAAAGCTGTTAATGCTCTCCAAGAATCAGCTTGCATTACTGCTAACCCTTTACTTATGGGGTGTCAGGTGAAAAATGGTTTATTTTATATTTTTTTAGAAGTCACTTTAACTTGTAATGATAACAACCAGTGAGTGACTTGATTTTATAGGGTGAGGATACTGAATGGGTCAACGTGGAGGTGAAGACCTCAGAACCAAGTGAGGGTGACTGGGTTGGAGTTTTCTCACCAGCAAATTTCAAGTAGTCTTTTTACGTTTTTGCCCCTTCACAAAATTATATATTTAGGGTTTAGGTTGAAATGTTTTAACCTTTTTAGTATTGGTTTATTACATAAAACGTATGTAAGATCTTAATTTTATAAAAAATAACAAACAAAAAAGCATATATATATATATATATATATATATATATATATATATCCAAAAAGTAAAATAAATTTTTACCAATATAGTCAACATCATCATCAATAAATAGTAACACAATTAGGGTTCAAAGACCAAATATTGATAAATAAATTATATATTAATAAACCAAGTATGCATTATATATTAATAACCAACTATTTCCCTACCACTGGAAAGTTACAGATTATATAGCAAGTTATATCGGAGTATTCAGTACAGTTTTAAAAAAATTAGGGACCTTAGATGTTAAAAAAAAATCCAGAGGGATCAAATGTGGACGCATCAAATAGTTAGATAGTTTATTTCAAGTTTCAACCCTTATATATTTCACCATAAAAAATGTTTTTTCTCAACAATTGAAAAAATATTGCAGTTCATCAGATTGTTACTCTGAATCATCCAATGAATTGCAAGATAATGGTCCATACATATGCACAGCCCCAATCAAAGTAAGATGTTTTATAAAATGGAACTCTTGAAGATAAAAAACTTTATATATTTTTTATTTTTTATATTTCTTTTAACCAATGAAACTATTGTTATAAACAGTACATGTTCGCGAACCATTCGAATCATGATTACACAACAACAGGGAAAGCGTCACTAACATTCCAAATCATCAATCAACGTGCAGATTTCTCCTTTGCACTTTTTTCTGGAGGATTACAGAACGTATTTGCAAACTCACTCTTAATTTATTTTTTAATAAATGTTTTTCGATTTTTCAATGAGCAATTAATTACTTTCGGGAATTTCAACAGCCAAAGTTGATAAGTGCTTCATCCCCTATATCGTTTGCAAACCCTAAGGCTCCACTTTATCCACGCCTTGCTCAAGGGAAAACTTGGGATGAGGTAAATAGTAAATTTCCATTAATCATTCGATTATTTATTCCATCAACCAAACACTACCTAAATTTTTACATCATGTGTTACTTTTGATGTTTATTCAGATGTCAGTGACATGGACAAGTGGCTACAACATCGATGAAGCCACTCCATTTGTTGAATGGGGTTGGGAGGATCAAAGTCAAACCAAAAAGCTTTCTCCAGCTGGAACTTTGACCTTTTCTCGTAGTAGCATGTGTGGTATGATATGTCTTACCCCCACCCTACCCTACCCTACCCCACCCAACCCCACTTGATAATGTTCTTAAATTCCATGTAGGAGAACCTGCAAGAACAGTTGGATGGCGTGATCCTGGTTTTATCCACACTAGTTTCTTAAAGGATTTGTGGCCTAACACCATGTATGTATTAATTTAAAAGAATAAACATGAATTGTAATTTTCTCATTTTTCATTTTATTTTTTGAATGATTTTTTCAGGTATTCTTATAGAATGGGTCATAAGTTGACAAACGGGTCGTTTGTTTGGAGTAAATTGTATTCTTTCAATTCATCTCCGTATCCTGGACAAGACTCATTGCAACGTGTTATTATATTTGGAGACATGGGAAAGGTAGTGATTAAGTTAATAAAATTTCATGTTTAATTTTTTATTTAAAAAATCTCTACTACCATGTTTTCAGGCAGAACGCGATGGGTCAAATGAATATGACAATTATCAACCAGGATCATTAATAACTGCAAACCAACTAACAAATGAACTAGATGACTATGATATAGTATTCCATATTGGTAATCTAGCATTTGCAAAAGGATACATCTCACAGTGGGACCAATTCACAGCACAAATTGAACCTATTGCATCAAAAAAACCTTATATGGTTGCAAGGTTAATTTCGACTTTTAAGTATTTACATAATTTCTAGTTCTAAATAAACCGAATCAATCACAACTTACTTTCAAATTTCAATCTTGTAGTGGAAACAACGAACGAGATTTTCCGAATTCCGGATCCTTCTATTTAAGTTCTGATTCAGGCGGGGAGTGTGGTGTGCCTGCTGAGACCATGTTCTATGTTCCCGCAGATAACAGAGCTAAATTCTGGTAAAAATATTTATTTCTTCTTAACCATTAAGAGGTTGGAATCATAAATGGTTCAGTTAGTTCTTATTGATAAATGTTTGTAGGTATGCAACGGATTATGGGATGTTTCATTTTTGTATAGCGGATTCAGAGCATGATTGGAGGGAGGGTTCGGAGCAGTATGCATGGATAGAGAAATGTTTTGCATCAGTCGATAGACAAAAACAGCCATGGCTCATCTTTGCTGCTAACCGTGTTCTTGGCTATTCTTCTAGTAGCCAGTATGCTATCGAGGGTTCTTTAGGAGAGCCAATGGGAAGGGAACATTTGCAGAAGCTATGGCAGAAATACAAAGTGGACATTGCATTCTATGGACATATCCATAGTTATGAAAGAACTTGTCCTGTATACCAGGTATATAAAGTTTCCAAAATGGTCTTTTTGAAATGCTTAATTTGATACTTACTTTTTTTTAAATGTAGGATCAATGTGTGAACACGGAAAAGTATAATTATTCGGGAACTGTGGATGGGACAATTCATGTTGTTGTGGGTGGAGGAGGGAGTGAGTTGTCGACTTTTGCTTATGTTGATACAGAATGGAGTTTGTATAAAGATCATGATTGGGGATTTGTGAAACTTACTGCTTTTAACCATTCATCGCTTTTATTTGAGTACAAGAAGAGTAGTGATGGTTTGGTTTATGATAGCTTTACAATATCAAGGGACTACAAAGATGTTTTGGCTTGTGTACATGATGGTTGTGGAACTTCCACGTTGGCTCCATGAGAGTTACTTTGTATGAGGCTTTGAAGTTTAAGTAACGTGTTACATTCTAAGAGGGGTTTTAATTTTTATGGCAAGTTAGCAAATCTTAACTAGCTTTAATGAAAAAAGTTTTTTCAATAATGGGTGAATTGTAAGGGTCTTGGTGGCATTAGCCCTTTAGCTACTACAATTGTTTGAAATTACTTATGCTCCCTAAAATCTAAATAATTCGCCCACAACCATTAAATTAACGAAAATGGACTCAAAAGCTAACGTCTATAAGAATGAAAAACATATGTAATTTAATGCTAAAGTTTGCAAGTGAGAGTGTCTTGTGATATAGTCGCTCATTTGTGTTATAAATATAAAAATATCATGATGGAAACCCTTGCAGGAAAAAAGCATGACACTGGACTGTATATACACAAAATTGATAAAAGAGATAAGGTATATAAAAATTTAGATGGAGAGAGGAGAATTTTGGATAATTAGAATGATTAAACTAAAAATGCTCAAATCTCTAACAACCAGATATATGGGAAGGTAGTTTAATAGTTAATCCTAATAAGTTGGAAATAAAGTAACCAAAAAAACATTCCAGAACCCATATGGTAGCTAGATATAAGCAATGAAAATAGAAATTGTTGTGATTTTAGGTCTTGTGTATACATGACAAAAAAAAAAACGACATTGTATTACGTTTACGTTTGAACATATGCCAATGATGGTCTTTACATGATACATATTGCAATTTGTCACCTATACAAAAGTAGAAAATGTGGGATATGACCACACTACCACATAAAAAGTGATAAGACATATTATTATTACCTCATCACCATACAAACATCATACCACTTTGGTATACATAGATATCACTTCACATCATATATTCCATACCACTTTGGTATACATACATATCACTTCACATCATATATTTTATTTTTATATTCATATTTTTAATAAATAAAATAATAAATGAAACAAATAAAAAAAATAGTGTTAAAAAAGTTACATTAATTTAAATAAAATAAAATTACACGGTATGAAAAAAGATTACATCAATTTAGTTTTCATCTTCAACATATGCATGTCCGTCGATGTAAAAAAACGATTTCGAAAATTTATGCAACTCATACCAAGCATTGATATAGAGAAAAATATTATGATATGTTGAGATTTTTGGTATTGTTTGAGTGCCGCATCGAGGACCTTGGAGTTTTTACTGGTATTTGGATGTGTTTTTTTAGGTTGTTGCAAATGTCATTGAATTCAATTATGTTTAACCTCATATTGTGTCATTTTGACGAAAGCTCATCGATATGCCGATAAACACCTTTCACCATTTAGTTGTAGAAGTGGTTTAGAATAGATCCCCAAAATGTATGTATCTCTCAATCGAGCATTTCCTTTGAAGGAGTCTCTAGACACCGAAAGCTAAGCACACGCTAAAACGGTTTCTTCTTTTTCCTCTCAAGGTTTTTGGGTTTGGAAATTTGGTTGTTGTGGAAATTGTTCCATGGTGGGAAGTAAGAAGTTATATTTAAATGTATTGTAGTGTGTGTAATAGATGAAGAAAAGAATGGTGTGAAAGGAATTGTAATAAAGTGATAATATTTATAAGAAGAAAAGAATTATCTGAATTTTTTTTTAAATGTTATAGCCATTTGTCTTGAAAACCCACCGATTTATTTCAATTGGTTGTTGCTTTCCATGGTATATGCCACTATAGTCGAATAGACCACGGTCGTTGCACAACACCACCCTAAAATGGTGTGCACGATCATGGCTTGAATGCCACCTGACCATAAGACCTACACATATCCTGTATACCGCATGGCCTTAATAGCGAATTAAAATTAAATCATATCCAATCTCGTCCCACATGTAGATCCCATGGCATTGGCAGTGTTACCAATGAAGATGAAAGTCATGAAACATAATTTGATCGAAAGAGGAAGGGGTTTAAATGACAAAAACAGTAGCTGATGTGCTTAAATTGTAATGTCACAGTTGTTTGATGGCTTAAATGCAATAACTGTTTTATCATTTTCTACCCGAAAGAAGACGAAAAACTCTAGAAGGACCTTCAAAGATCAAACTTCAAAGCACGCCGTTTCTAAGGCACGTTGGAGTCGATGGCAGTTGCACCCAGATTTTCTCTCTGTGTGTAGATTGTGACGATGGAGCATTCATTATGGGGAAATCTACCATTGTTGGTGAGAGCGAATTCGAAGGAATCGGTGGAGCTCATACTCCAAACCCTATGGAGAACTCGCAAAATTGGACTTGATTCAAACGATCGCGATGTCATCCGTGATATGCTTCAACTTCAAAATGATGCCGACCTCGATCCTGTAATTACCTTTTACTAGTTTTTTGCTATAGTTTCATAAAATGCCCACTATTACTATGAACAGTTTGATCTGATTTCTAATTGCTAGTAAATATGTAATTTTGTAGCTTTTGGTATGCCTACGCATGTTGATTCGTAGATGTGTCTATGAGAACAACAATAAGGATGAAATACAGAAATTGTTCCCTGAAGAAGTCTTGCCTGAGATACAGAGATTATTGACACTTCTGCTACAAAAGTTCCATAAGGAGTGGAGAGAAGATATAGCGAAAGATCAGGTACTCTTGGGTGATAATAATTTCGTTTTTACAGGATATATGAACTAGGGTTTCCCCTAAATCTGTTTTAACTTCTAGCTTCAGAGCAACACAGAGCCAAATTCAGGAGAAACAGATGTCAACTTTCAGTTGTCTAAAGATAGACTAGAGACGATGTTGAAGTCTATGTATTCTATGAGTGATCAACAATGAAGGTACATGATTTCATTCCCATAAGATTTTTTTTTTGTTTGTTATAAATGTGGCCCATCATGGTTCATGCTGACTCAAATTCAAGAACATGATATGTGGCTTAGCCTAAATTTTGGTATTGGTATGTTATTTTGCTTAAATCTTATTTGAAATCCTTGTAGCTTCATTTTATGTATTTGCCAAAGTGGTTGTTTTCACTAATTTGTTATGTTGAAGATAACTTGAAGTGGTAATAATTTGTTATTTGTATGTACTCAGTTTTTGGACGAAGTTAAGAACATAAAATAAAAACACTAAATAAAAAAACACTAATGTAAAGTATTCACAAACCATTCCAAAACTATTCGTCAACCTTGGTTGCAGCAGGAGAGAAAAGATGAAGCAGAAGCGTAAGAGAGGAAGAGAATGATTTCGTCATTCGGTGTGTTTAACCAGTCACAGGCCTCAGTCAAGAATTTTGGGATTTTGTTTTTTCGCACATTTTTTGGGTTATATTTTCCTAACATATGTCAAACCCGATAGTAAACACAATTTTGGGCTCATTTAAGTACATTTTAACTTTGTTTCAATTGCAATCGAGTTATTTTCTTTCACATGTAAATTTTTCCCAAAAACTTTGTACCTCCATCACCTAAAATAATATCTTCTTCGTTACAACATGCTTCTTGAGATGACAAATGAAAGTCGACCTTGTTAAACGTTTCCTTGTATGAAAGTCAATATTGTCGTACCTGTCTTTGTATGTTTTAAACAAATCATCCAATCTATTCTCAATATTCGGTCATTTTTTTTGAAGGCTTTTAGGTTTTATGGGGTATCAATTCTATGGGGAAGATAATAGGATCCGATTTTTTTTTTGAATATTTTGAATAATCTTATAAATTAGGAACGTATTTAACCAGGAGTTTAAGAGTTCTATGGAAACTATTAAACTTCCGATTAAGGGTTAGTACTTTCATGAAAAATGCAGGAATCGAACTATGGAGAACCGAATATCACTTTGGGGTGAAAGTAGGAACCGAGTACCACATCGTATGTTTTGAATCAATTTGTGTTTTGGTCGGTACGGATTCGATATTTGGTATGTAATGTTCATCCCAAATTTTGAGTATTTAATAAAAACTAATATAGAATTTGAGGTCAAATAATTATATACTAAAAAGCGCTTGATGAGCTATTATAAAAAAATTGGTTATTATGATAAATATGAACTTATGGTAGTCAATAGAATATCTAATCCAAGGCTGTCAAGATCGGTATCCTATGTATGATTGTTTTTGGGTTTGCAAAAACGTTATCAGGATCTTAAGATCTCATAAAAATTGACAATTACAAGTTTAAAGCATGAAAAGTACATTTTCATTCATCTATCTACCATTCAAAAGTTATAAAAAGTCCAAAACATTAGTCATAACACAAATATTATCTAATCTAGTCTAACATAACAAATGGTGGATACATATCATTGAACTCTTCTAAATCCAGAATATCATCTTCTACCAAATTTCTTTCAACACCCACACCTGCGGTTAAAGAAAAACATGGCATATAAAACTAAAAAGTAAAAACTATTGCTGTCAATTTTAAAATTATAGAATGAAAAAATAACTCATGCAATTGAACTTGAGCCATCATGGGCTTGCGACAAACTTGGGCCATCAAAATGGTCCATCTACTATTCATTTGTATGATGATTACAAGACTCTTCTTCATCAATCCACTCATCATAGGAACTAACACCAACAAGATTTAATGTTTCAGTTCCATCATGCTCTTTTCATTTCTTTTGGTGCTTTAGGTCGTACATCACATACACAAGATCGTCCATCTTTTGTTGGTGTAATCGATTTCTTCTCTTAGAATGCACATATACAACAAAATGAGAAAATAATTGAAAAATAGATAACGATATAATAAACGTAGCATTAAAACAATAATGTTGTTACTTATAAGTTACAATCTCAAAGGCACTCCAATTCCTCTCACAATCACATGAAGAACATGTCAAGCTCAAAATTCTTATGGTGATTGTTTTTCAACCCGGGCACGTTAGCTCCATATGAATCCCACCAATCAACTAGACTTTTTCCTTCCTTGTTAGCTTGGCTACATTAAGACCAAAGAGCCCTCTTGCATTAGTGGATTCATCAAATTGACAATCAATAGTGTGTCATCACCGCATATTCTTTCGAGGCACATTCATAATCCACCTCTAATCTAACCCATATTCTGAAAATTGGGGCTATATTGCATCATTGGATTCAAGTAATAACTCGCCACATTGAGTGCCCTATTTATTTAGCTGATGATACCATCTTCCGTCAATGATCGCATGAATTGGTTTGTACCTCAAAATATATACAAACAAGCAATATGAGGTGGTGGTTTTATATTAATATTGAAATATATAAACAAGCGAACAAACAAAAATATTTGAATATGTTGTTTGAACATCTTTATAGTTTTTTTTTTTTTTTTTCATCATTCTCATTTATCTTGGCTTGGTAAATGAAACCTAAATGATAGTGTGACATCTTCATTTTTACGACCATTTTAAAAAATTTTATTTATGCTTATTTAAAACATAATTTATTTATAAATGCGGAATTTGGTCCCGTAAAAGTATTTCCGAAGAAATGTTTTTATTGATTATTAAAACCTTGAGATGTCATAACTGATACAAGAAATATAAGCATAAACATGTTATCTTTCATGTTCTTCCTTCTTGTAAATCGAATTCAACGTGTTTTGTACATTTCCTTTGTTATTACACCAAATCGTTAATGGAAGATTACAAAAGGGAGTAGAAGAAGACCGGTTGCACATTTTTGAGTAATGGATGGAGTGATAAAAAAATAGGTCAATATGTAATTTTTCTTGTGAATAGTCCTAGAGGAACTATCTTTTTAGCATCAATTGGAACATACGACATTATCAAGGAAATGGAAAAAGTGTTCGCAATATTAGATGACTTTGTTGAAAAAATAGGTAAGGAAAATGTTGTTTAGGTAGTAACATATAATGCTGCAAACTGTAAGGCTGTTGGAGAGACAGAAGTGGAAGAAACTATCTTAGACACAGTGTGAAACTCATTTTATAGATTTAATAGGATTTTGAAAAAAGATTGAACATCATAAAGTTACCATCGCAAATGGAAGAAAGATAACAATATTCATATATAATAGGTGACGATTGGTTTTATAACTTTTATTTATTTTTTAATATAAGTTCTTTTAATTCCTATAACAAGTTTCTTTATAACATGACATAATTGATTTCCATGCTCAAAGAATTTACAAAGGGGAAGCAACTCCTTAGGCGTGGAGCAACTAGATTTGTTACTGCTTATCTTACACTATGTCGCTTGTTTGAACAAAAGATGTATAGTTTTGGATACCGTAGGATTTTGGTCATCTTAGGGTCATAAACCCCCTAATGAAGGTTCTTCGAAGGGTTGATTTCATTTACCAAACTATAGTAAATGTGACGAACGAAATATGAAAAAACTTTAAAGATGTTGAAACAAAGTATTCAAATATTTTTGTTTGTTTGTTTGTATATATTTTTAGTTATTAGTTAAAAACCACCATTTCATATTGCTTGTTTGTGTATGTTTTTAGGTACGAACCAATCCATGAGATCACTGACGAAAGATGGTATCATAAGCTAAATAGGATGCTCCATATGGTGGGTTATTACTTGAAAGTTGAAACCGATGATGCAATATATCCCTTATTTTCAGATTACAGGTTGGATAAAATGTGAATAATACATATGCCTCGAAAGTATGTGTGGTGATGAAGACCTGGAAAAGAAAATTTGACTGTCAATTTGATGAATTGATTAATACAAGAGGGTTGTTGGTCTTAATGTAGCCAAAACTAACAAGGAAGTAAAAAAAAAATCCATTTGATTGGTGAGATTCATATGTAGCTAACACACCCGAGTTCAGAAATTTTGCTATGAGAATTTTGAGCTTGATATATTCCTTATCGGCTAATAGGGAATTTTAGTGCCTTTAAGATGGTAACTTACGAGTAGCAACATCATTATTTGAATGCTACTTTTATTATATCGTTCGCTATGTTTTCAATTATTTCTTATTTTGTTGTATATGTACATTCTAAGAGAAGAAATCAACTACATCAACAAAAGATGAACGGTCATGTGTATGTTATGTACCGCTTCAAGATTAATGAAAATATGAAAATAAAAGGAAAAGAGCATGATGGATGTGAAACATTAAATATTGATGATGTTAGTTCTGATAATGAGTGGATTACTAAAGACGAGCCTTGTAATTATCATACAAATGAACAGTGGATTAACTATTTTGATGGTTCAAGTTCAAGCCGATCGCAAGCCCATAATGGTGGTGGAGATGATGATTTTTTAAAAGAGATCGATTGTGTGAGTTCAAGCCCATAATGGTGGTGGAGATGATGATTTCTTAAAAGAGATCAATTGTGTGAGTTATTGTGTAATTTTAAAAGTGACAATGATAGTTTTTTGTCATGTGTTAATGTATCCCACTAAAAATATGTTAAAGATAACAAAACCGTTATCTTTAGGACGACCTAGCTAACGGTCGCAAATCTTTCCTAGTGCCAGACCCAGGCCCTCGTCCTCGCGCTAGGTCCCTCTCGCCTGGCACCATCGCTCCCAGGTTCAATTCATAACGACAATCTCTGGTCTATAATAGGACAAAACACAATTAGTCGCCTCCTAGAGTGACACGTGTTGTGCCCAAGGCTTTGTCCTATGCTTACTCTGCACCAATAGCAGATGACTACTAGTGGTGCATGATCTTCCAATAGGACTCCTCCACGTCTTGTTGGCCAAGACGGGACAAAAAGTTCTGTTGGGATTGTGCATAGGAAACAACAAATCTCCAGAAGAAGGGATCACTTTCTTTCCATCAAAACCCTAATTAACGTATCCTCAAATAAACACTAACTAGACCGTCGAAGTTTCGTCCCGGGACCACCTCCGGGACGTCGACTGACGTTATTTCATCATTGTTGTGATTACAGGGCTCAACCTAACCAGAATCATCAAGTGACAGTGTTAATTCAAGGCCCATATCACAACATTTGGCGCCATCCGGGCGTGTACTCAGAGTTACACAACCTTGATACGATTCTAGACGTCGATGATGACGGGAAAGGAACCTACGATGTTCGGAGGAGGAAAATCGAGTCCACTTAGATCAATGTCGTCGCTCGACGGCACACAACCATCTGCTTCAGACGAACAAACTTCCACCCACACGCTAACAACACATACATCAGGTCCAACGACGGGAACCGCAATAGCAGCAATCGCCGCCCTATTGCGATCGTTACCCGTCACAACAGAGCACCTGGTTACAACCACGACTGCAGTGCCTCGGTCGACAATGACTCAACAGTTGCAACCACCGACCCAACAGTTACAATTGTCGACTCAACAATCACAACTGGTGGTTTCTCAGTCGCAATCGCTACGCAACAAGCGGGGATGAACACTTGGTCCCCAGGATCCATATTGTCCTCCGCACAATACCCAATGTCGAGCTATCAGTTCTCTCCAATAGCAAGAATGTCGCACATTCCGCTCTTTGCTCAACAACCTCCGATGTTTAACCCCTACTTCCAGTAGTTGCAGGGATCCATCCCCCCAAGCACTGTCGTCGCAAGAATCCAACCCTCATTTGCCAGTGACGCAGCAGTTTAATATCCATGCTCAAAAGCCTCAGGGGTCGAGTCTAAACATGCTCCAGCTGCCAGAATCGGGCTCACAACTACAACAAAGCATGCAATCGAGCTCACAACAACAACTGTACATCTCGCAAGCAGCGATGTACAACCAAGCGTACGTAAACCCGTATTATGCTCAACAATTCATGATGTATAGTGGTTTTCCATATCCACACATGGAAAACCCGGTGAGAAGCACCAACTCTGCTTTTTGCCAGGAGTTCATGCAGTATGAGATCCCACACTCGACGATGATACCAAACATCCCCAAGTATGACGGTACAACCGACCCTAACGAGCATATCGACACTTATGAGTGGACGATGACGTCGCTGAGGATGGACAGGCGGTTCATTTGCACGTATTTTCCTGTTACACTATCGGGAAACGCCGGAAAATGGTTCAAGGCACTGCGATCGAGCAACATCTCGAGTTTCGAGCAGTTACGATTCCTTTTCCTCAACAATTTCATGCAACTAAGGAAGGGCAAGGGAGATGCGAACTCAATAATGGCATGCAAGCAAAAAAGGAGAGTTTACTTCATGGCCCTTTGTCGAAGAAGATGCAAGGGAAGGTACCTCAGTCGAGAGACGAGCTCAAGTAGAAATTCGGGAAGTATCTCAGACAGATCGAAGGTGAAGAGAGAAAAGAATATAATCTAAAAGTTGTTGCCAATGCATACATTAAGCAAGAAGAAGCAGTCTCTCGTCCAACACTGGCCATCGAGAGCGCCAGGACGGAGGCCACGACAAGCATAATCGACACTCGTGACACCCATCCCCGAGATATCGTCCGTTTGGCAAAGACGAGCATCGGGGCCACCGAATCGATGTCCACGCCATCGAGAAAACTCCTCTGAAGATGGAAAAAGAAAAGGGCACGTACTGTGAGTATCACAAGAGCAAAACTCATTATACCGGCGAGTGCACGGTGCTGAAGAAAGAGATTGAAGAAAAGAATCTAAAATACGACCTTTATGACATCACAAAGGACTTGAGATCTAAGTTCGATGCCGATCAGAAGAATGCTCGAGCTCAGAAAGACGCATGTAAGCGCCCAGAGAAAAAGAACGACATCTTCACCATCTTCAGGCCACGTAAGAAGGTCGAACCCCACAAAGCAAAGGACGACGCCGATGTATTATCTGGAAGCATATTTAATATCAAAATTTCTATTGATGACCCAAGGCTACCAAATTAGTATCCCAGGGATCCACTCCTAATCACTGCCTACATACGCCAAAGGCAAGTCCACCGTGTCTACATAGACAATGGTAGTAGCACGAACATACTGTATGAGCATTGTTTTAGGCAGTTGCCCACCTCCTGGAAGGAAGGATTAAAACCCCCTACAAACGGACCATTGATTGGCTTCATAGGGCACAACTTATGGCTACTGGACACCATATATTTGCCACTTACCTTGGTCAGTCACAATGGGAGGGATTAAATCACGCGAACAACCGAAATTTCCGTGATATAACCCCCAGCAGAGCATAACATCTTGCTCGGGTGACCGACGCTTTCCAGCTGCAGGCCATACCTTTAACAATCCACGATATTGTCAAGTTCAACACACGTACTGGGTCAGCCACAACAGTCACCATTAACCCACGAGCACAACACTGCCACCAAGTCATCGCCGCACCAGAGCTAGTGCGAGCTCCGAAAAAGTCAAAGGACGATTGCCAAACAAAGAAGCACATCATTCATCCGGATTACCCGAAGCAAACAATCTGAATAGGTGCAAACCTATCGGAAGAAGTGAAGCTAAAATCAGTTTCCCTCTTGAAGCACCATTCCAAGGTTTTCGCATGGCGGCCAAAGGACATGGTAGGAGTCGACCACGAGGTCATCGAACACAGCTTGAATATTCTTCCGGGGAGCACCCCCATCAAGAAAAAAAAAGAGGGGACAAGCGGGTGATAGAAGCAAGACAATTAACACAGAGATGGAAAAGCTGGTGGATGCATGCATCCTCCGGGAGGCAATCTTTCCTACCTGGATAGCAAACCCAGTAATGGTAAAAAAGCACGACGGATCATGGCGGATGTGCACTGACTATTCGAACTTGAACAACGTATGTCCGAAGGATTATTACCCCCTCCCGGAGATAGATCAAAAGGTTGAATCCTTAGAAGGATTCAAGTTAAAGTGTTTTCTCGATGCCTATAAGGGCTACCACCAAGTCCAAATGAAAAAAGAAGATGAAGAGAAAATAGCCTTCCATACCGATCGTGGCACCTTCTGCTACCGAAAATGCCATTCGATCTCAAGAACGTCGTGGCAACCTACCAACGCCTGATGGACAAAGTGTTTGTGGACCAAATTAGCAGGAATGTCGAGGTATATGCCGATTATATGGTCATCAAGAGCCATGACGAAGTAGCTCTGCTCCACCATATCGAGGAAACTTTTCAAACCTTGACGAAGGTGCAGATGAAACTTAACCCGGGAAAATTCACCTTCGGGGTGGAGGAAGACCAGTTCTTGGGTTATCAGATAACCACCGAAGGAATATCACCCAACCAGGCCAAAATACAGGAGTTCCTCGACTCCGAAACCCCTCACAACCTCAAGGGAGTGTAAGAGATCAATGTAACGCTAACAACGCTTGGTAGGTTCATTGCCAAGTCAGCCTAGAAAGCCATCCCACTTTTCCGAAATTTGAAAGGGTGCATCGATAAAAACCAATTCAAGTGGACACTAGATGCCGACAAGGCCCTACAACATCTAAAAGAACCTCTGCACCAGCTCCCGACCATGGCAAGCCCCCTTGTCAGGAGAAACTTTGCAGATGTACTTGGCAGCATCTGACGAGACCATATCGTCAGTGCTAACCATTGAAAGAGACAAGAAGCAATTGCCAATACATTTTGTGAGTAGAGCATTACATGGCCCCGAGCTCAATTACCCAATCCGAGAGAAGTTGGTGTTGGGTTTTGAGCATTCTAACACTCCTAAGGTGTACATGCAACCCTAAATACCTTGGATCTATGTTTTCTCTATTATACATGCAAACTTGATCTTTCCAAGGTATTACCCTAACTAGCATACAAAACTTTGATACCTGGGTAATAATACAAGTTAGATGACATACCTTTTCTTGTAGCTTGTTGCCCTTGATGTAATTAGCCTTTAAGAACTTAGCACCGATAGTGTGAATGCCTCAAATGGAATCACAACACATCTAGGACAAAGGATAACTTGAGAGAGAATGGCTTGCTCTA